ACAACATAGAGGAAATGTGAAAGAACGTAAAGGTGGTTGATCATAAAGTTTAAAGGTATTCACAGAATATAGAGTAGTTACAACATAATGTAATGCATATTGCACACAACAAAGAATAGCAATGACATATCATACAATTGTTTGACAAAACAAATAAATATTTTGACATAACACAGAGATGCAGTGTCAGGAAATAAAGGCACTTACACGTAATATAAAGATGAAATGACAGGACGTAAAGACAAAGCGACAAAACACATTAAATATTTACACTATAAGACAGTTACGACGTTCCATATTGGTGCATTTATTTTTTATATGCAATTTGTTTATTCAACATTGTTTGTGCTGTTGTCTAAATTTCTTCTGTTTTCTTTTATTGTCTGTATTTCTTCGTTTTTGATACTCTTTTATTGTTTTATTATGAAGGCTTTGACCAATCACAATACCAATTGCTCAAATACTTGACCAAATTGCATTTTGAATTCTTCATCTCCAAAAACTGATCAATTGGTAAAGTATCTTTGCTAATTGCTTGAGTGAGAGGTTGTTAGTATGAAGTGAGTGCTGTGATATAGAAATGATGCTTCCCATCCAACTTCAGTTATTTAATGTCTGTGTAATGAAATTGAAATGAAATAATCACCTACTATGATATAAGGCACTGGTTTATAAAGGTCTGACTTTGAAATGAAAACTTCTATCCTAATGACATTTTATAAATAATTCGTTTGGTAAGTCAATGATTTATTGCTTTGTTTTCTAACAGGAAGCTTTTGTGTAATTGACATTTGGATATTTTTTTCTATAACAATTAGTGATTTGCTGGTATTGAAGGGAAATAACCTTTAATCAGTCATTGTAAACTAAAATTTCATCAAAGATATACGGTTGATGATTTTGTACGCCAGTCGCAAGTTTTGTCTAGAGAAGACTAATCAAGAAGCTCGAATAAAAAAATTGAAATGCGAAATTAAGTTAGAAGTTAAAGAGCATTCCGAGAGGTTTTGCCAAATACTGCTTATAAGTAATCAAATCCTCGGGGATAGAACATCCTGAGAATTTTGAACAATTCAAATTTTTGCAAACAGTTAATTTATAGTCTTGACCATATGAATGATAATTCATTTGAACACAGACTACTGGGCTGGTGATACCCTAATAAATTAAAGAGGAATCCATGATTTATAAAACTTTGAATGTGACCCATATTTCAAGTGTTTTTCAAAATTTTAATCATCTTATAAATAGAAGTGTTCTTTTAAGAACAGATGATAATATTTTAAAAACCATGGCAATGATAGTTAGATCAAATTTTTTATAGAATGTCAATATGAAGGAAATGGATAGTTGACAGAACAAAATTTTGCTGATAATTATGTAAATTATTTCCCTTTATTATTAACAGATTAGTTTTTAGTCCGTTGTATGAATACACCCGTATTATTAAAGCCTTTTGTCATCACAGGCTGTTTCCTAGTATCGATAAACCGGAAAATCATAAACGGCATTTTCTTACATTAAAATATATGAATAGCGGTATTGATTTTATTTATTTATCTAGTATATTCAATGACTCTACCATCCATAGCCAAATACCTCCATATTTTGATAATACAGAACCACCTATTATTTCGTATTCGTACAGAAAAAAACAGCAGAAGTTTGATTTTTAATTATACGTCAGTAACATCAGACGTCAATATAGAAAATGATGCTCCTTCCACTTGAGACTGTGAAACATCTACTTTTAGATATGTTCCCTATTGTCATGTCTTTATAGGAGACCTCAACATCGTTGAAGACCGTGAGGTCAAAACTTTTCTTAAGAAAGAACCTAGATATCGTCCTCTATTTGGAAACAGTGTCGTCAGGTCATTAAAGACGCTATGTGTGCCTACTGTAAAAACTGATATAATCGTGAAAAATCTGATAAAAAATCACTGGACAGTTATTTGAATGATATTATGAATACTGTTGATATTCGTATATCTCATTTTGAAAATTGTTCTAAAATTAATTATAGGGTTCATGATATACCCTTTTCTAGAAAATAAAAACTAAACTCCAAGTACTCGCAAAGTGGTTTGTGTTTGTACCGGCAGACAAAGCAGGCAATATTGTAGTGGTGGTGTGGCGCATATACTACACGGAAGTTCTCCAAAACGAAATTATCAATTCTTCTACATTCAGGTCCGTACGCTCCACAGAGCGTCAAATTGTAAACAAGCATATCACTGCCACTACCACTTTAAAGCCTCTTCCGGATATTTGAAATTCCCGACTATGTACTGGTGACCTAAATTACACAAACAAACATTTAAATTTCGTTTCATCTCCGCATTTAGTAAGTGTTCTACTACTTATCTGTAAGTGCTTCTAACTACCTGTCTTACTACTATCAAAGAACTGGTTATTAACTTTTGTTATAAGGCTTATGAAAATAATGAAATTAATTATTTTTTGGAGTGTTAAACATTCTTTAGGGGTTTCAGAAAAAAATCGTGCTTTTGATTGTCCTTTTAAGTCTGTTGACAGTTTTGATTTTTCTTCTCTCTACACTACACGTCACATAATATTATCAAGAAAAAGTTTTCATATTTAATTAAATGGTCTTTTGAAAAACTCGTTGCAAATTTATTTGCTGTAACTCGTTTAAAGCCTTTTTCTGTAACGAAAAAGGAGAGTATGCTAGATACACTTACTGGAAATGTAGAGATATGATTGAATTTTAAATTTTTATCCTTGACAACATTTATGTACGTTTCGGCGATAAAGTGTATCGACAGGTGGTATGTATTCCTATGGGTACTAATTGCACCCCTTTAATAGCAGATTGTATTCCTGTATTGCTATGAATCTAAGATTATGACCAACTCAGTAAAGGCACGTCATTATTACATTTGTTTGACACATTCAACAATACATACCGTTATTTTTGTGATATTTTTCGTTACATAATCCAGAGTTCTCTAAATATACTACCGAAATTTACCCAAAAGAACTTACTTTGAATAAATCTAACATAAACAGCAGTAGATTTAGACATTTCAATTTCTAAAGGGAAACTCCATACTAAAATTTACGACAAAAGAGACGACTTTTCATTCCCTATTATTAATTTTCCTTTTTTAGACTGCGATGTTCTTTTGGCTCCATCAATCGGTGTTTATATATCCCAACTCGTTCGTTATGCCCGTGTGTGTAGTGATGTCATAGATTTTAACGAACATAATCAATGCATCACTGGTAAATTATTCAGTCAGTGATTTCATTACCATAAATTACTTAACACTTTTACTAAATTCTTTCATAGATACAAAAATCTGATTAGTAAATTTGGCTGTACATGTAGAAAACTTATTAAAAACGTTATTTCACATCCTAAATTTTACGATAATATTGTACTAAAAGCGCGGAAATCACCATGTCATCCGTGTAAACTCATCGAACCTTTAAATAAACTTATTAGTAAAGGTTATCTTATTAATGTTGTAATACGATCTTTCAATATTGTTTACATTGGCACAAATATCGATTTTGTAATCAACAAATTAAAACAAACTAAATTTGTATTCTTTTCGAATGGTCATTTGGATGTATAAATACACATTCACGTTCATTTTCTATATAGAGATTGCTTTATCTATATATAACATTATACATAATTATTATAAGGTTAAATCCAAACTATCCTACTGCCTGTCGATACTTTTATTTTGGCATTGAACAAGTCATGTCTTCTTTGACTGTCCATTGCGTTAAAACACTAAATCCCTGGGATGTGTTTTAGTTGATTTTAGTCTCTGATGCACGATTTTTTATTATTGATTGAGTTTGGCTTTTAACTAGCTTTCAGTATTTGCGAGTACTCTGAAATCGTACTTTCGTGTTAATTTGACCTGTTACAAACTATCTTTAATATTTACCACCTTTGATAAGTATTTAGTATGACGATAACTTTTCACTGCTGTTCTCGTACGTTGAACAGCAAATTTGTCTTTTTTGTAAAAAATATCTCCGTACTCCTAACTACAAAATTATCATATTTAAATTTACCTGTTTACGTTATTTTATTTAACGCCATTTTTTCCAAGGTTATAGTTGTCTTTTTGACATTGTGTCACATATCAAATTTATTCGTTCAGTGTATGTTTACTTATTTTTGTTCATTGTCTTTTTGATTGAGTTAAGCTATTTCAATTGATATTTTATAGTGTGTCTTTCTATATTGTAATGTTACACTACTATTTAAGGTTAGGACGAGGGTTGGCGCCTGTTAAAACGTTTAAACACGCTGCATTTGTTTGCACCTGTCCTTAGTCAGGAACCTGTTTTAGTGGTTCTCGTTTGTTGATGTGGTTCTTAAGTGTTTCTCGTATTGAAATACGTGCTAAGTTATGTCGAGGAAAACAACATTCATTTAATGACAGAAAATGCTTGAGAGTTAAGGCATTTTCGAGTTTGTTTGTATCGTTGAACTTCCAGTATATATATATGCAACACAATACCACTTTTCTTTCAAATTATATAGAATATGTGTGGTTGAGTTTTTGGTCGTCTTTCCTCCAATTGGCAAAAAACACTTTTGTAATATCGATAAATCCGTTTTATTAATGAGATTTTTTTTAAACGTCTTTAGACTTAATCGACTAATTTTGTCAATGCTTTAGCACCATACCTGGTTACATGTTCTACAGAGAAATATAACCAGAACTCACAGAAAATTTTGACATATGTGTGAACTACAACCCGACCAAAAAGCAGAAAACAGCCACCAATGGGTCTTCAATACAGCGAGAAAATCCCGCACTCGGAGGCGTGCTTCAGCAGGCCCCTAAACACAAATATGTACTAGTTCAGTAATAAGACTCTTTTGCATGTTTTATTGTGATGATTGGTACCCGTCTCATTGACGTCTATAATATGTCTGTTTTATTTTCATTTTTAAATATATCTTAAATGGATGAAAAATACAACATATATAAGAAAACCGCAAACTGTATTCAACATTTCCTTTTATTTAAAAAAAAATACTGTGTGTGTGGATTTCAGTGTTATCATGTTCATCGTGTGTATCCATTAGACGGCCTTCTTCGACAAATCATGTGACAATTAACAGCTGCACAGTATTTGTTGGTTGGACAATCTCTATCAGCAAGACAGTCTTTTTTACAACCAATTTTCCCATTTAATACTGACTGTGAAACGACTCCTGAACCAGAAGTACGTACTGATCCACCACGTCTTAAAGAAACTGTGTCTAATACATCAAGTCCACTTCTTCTAAGGTTGGTTACGTCAAGAATATCAGAACCTGTATGACCAGACATTACACGGCTACTACCTATATTTTCCAAATGAGAATTGCTAGATAGGCCCAAATTTCTAGCCAGACCAGATGAACCAATTCTGCTGCCAGCGGATAAATGACCATCATTACTTGAAACTCTGGTCAAGTCAGATGATAAACTTCTAATAATTTCCCTTCTTATAGAGTCCGACAATCCAGATGCACCAATTATACTTCCAGATGAAATTTCGACGCAGTAGCTGCTACAACCATTGTGAATACATTTATGTCCTGAACGACATAATTTATCTCCTCCACACCCATAATGACAGTTACTGATACTGTCATCGTCAGATAAAGCACGTGACATACTAGCTGAGGAGCCTCTAATGATTTCAGAAACAGATGCCCTGCTTCCAACAGAACCCCGAGATAATCTCGTACTGTCTATTCCATGAGATGTTCCAACTGCTCTTGATCCTGCTCGTCTATTTGCATCAATAACATCTAGTACAGAAAGGGATCCGACACCACGACGCCCGTCTATGTCTCTTCCAACTGTGTTTTTGACCTGTAAAATCTTCTTCACTCCATGTATGTCTAATGCATGTTCTGTTGGTGAGTAAGCTGTAAAATTAAATATCGAACCAGTTTTACAATCTTCACACATCAAGTAATACAAAATACAATAGAGGTTAACTACTATCTACATATGAATATCAGGATATATGTAGTTAATGCCAATAAGACTATTCACCATACACCTATGGATGATGTAAACACATACAGGGACCTTACGGTTTCAGTTCTAATCAATGGAATTACAACATAGTAAGCTATAAATGACCTTACATGACCAAATGTGAAACAAAATTGAAAAGCATTCGTTTCAAACTTTTACATTATAACTCCCAAAAATATGTAGATGTTGGTAATATTCTTTCTTATGTACTTCAATTATATATATTTTGAAGATTTTCTGCAGTAAGGTATTTATCTCAACATCGGAAACACTTTCGTTAAAACAGCCCATAAATCTCGTAAAAAGCAAATATAATAGTTTTCTTACCAGCTACTATCATTGTGGTCACTGCCATCGATAAGAATATGGTCTGGAATCTCATCATCTCTAACATGTCTAAAAATTCTAAAAATTAACAGGATAAACGTTATTTCTAAATCATAACTGACACATTAAATAATAATCAGTTAACAAAATATTTACATTAATATTTACATGTTCATATTTGTCAACCTCTAAAACTGAAAATGCATTGAAGAAAAAATGTCAGGTCATAACGCGTACGAACTTTTTAGGTTCAATTTTAGCATTGAGAGTTTTTTTTTAGACACTATAACATAAACATGAACCACTGAGTCTCCTAAAAATAATCACATTTGTATTTTTTAAGTATATATTAAATATTTATCATTACTCATTGTTAAATTATCTTTCTAATGCAATGCCCTCTTATTGTTTTATTCACACTAGTTTACTTTTTTTTATTAATGAATGTCATAAACCCAAGCTATGCATGTAGTTACATATCAATTATAGCTAATGTGCTCCTATACACAGGAGGAAGATAAATACAAGGAAATAACAGTTAGTGTGTTTCCTTTTCCTGTTCAGTGTAATATCTAGAGCATATGGATTTTAAGCTTTTACATTTAGGTGATAACAAAATTATTCTCTTCAACAGTAATGTATTAAAAGGTTCATATTGTTCTAAAATGATTTTTACAGGTCATTTGATATTTGCAAACGGCAAATCTTGTATTCAGGACATAGAATTGTATGTCAAACTTGAATGGCTTCTACTTTCTTGGGTACAGTTAACAAACAATCCTCAAATTGTTACTTTTCAATCAAATGTAATGTTTTGATAGCTGTCATTGGCACGGTAAATAAGCAAATTCTAAGTATTGACTTAAAGTTAAAAAATTTCGAGAAAACCGAAAGTATATTTGACTTCTAAATACCGGAAACAATACCGGTCAGAAATACGGGTAAAAACAGGTCATTTAATGAAATCCCGGGTTATTTGAATACCCGGCGGGTACTTTATTCTAAGCCTAATTTTAGAATTTACTGTGCTTGCTTTCGTGCTACAGGCTGTTCATAATTGAGATATTGTGTAAGGGTAATATTAGCAAAAGGAATTATTATGTTAACTTTAGAAAACTTCAATGTCGTTAGAACTTTGAAATTAAGTATTTGAAGACACCTCTTCTAAAATTCATTCTAAAAATAGAAGCCTCAATAGGGTAAAATTGAAAGGGGGCCTATATTATCGATTTTCATGGTTTTTAAAAACGGATATCTTTGAAAATTAAAATCGAAACGACCAAACTCAATGTGGGCATTGTGTCTCAAAAAATAGCATAGATGCTATCAATATTTACCAGCCAGATGTGCTTTTCGGCAAATAATAGATTTTCAGTGATACTCAAGCCCAAAATATTTAAAAATCCACAATTTAATATTGGCCTTATAGAGCTGATCATACAAAAAATAATAGAGTAAAGGAAATTCTATATAAGGAATTGGAGCAATCAATCATGAAATATAAGGTTCAATTAATAATTCAATATGACATTGGTTTGAAATTACAAATTCGAAAAATATGATAGAAATTGTTTTACGAAATAAAAATAAAAAAAGGAAATGAAGCACATTATATATCTCAAACTTCTATCACTTAAATTGATTTTCATTATCTCAAAAAATTACTTCAGTCGGGGTTTACTTCCGATAGATGATTTTAAAACGCAGTAAAAATAGTTTGTGTTAGTACAATACACTTTGAAGCAGTAATTTGTTCTAATACTTGTGTCTAACTATTCTATTACAGAAATATAAACAATGCACAACTTTCACTATGCTATTCTGTATATAAGTAAATTAAACTGTTTCGTTTTTCCAAGGGAGCAAATTCTCCATTAGAAGTATCAAATTATCCTTACGCGTTAAACTTCATAAATTCTAACGTATTTCCTGCTATCTTTGTCACTATTGCTTTATTGTTTTGTTTATTTATCATAATTATTCATAATTAATTGTTACCTATAAGCCTTACCTTTCTTTGAAGTTATTCGAAGGATTTCTTATGAATACTGTTTCACTGCTTCAAAATCGTTCTTTTATATCGTATCAATTATTTTGTTTATGATTGACATGCACACAAGGAAATTTGTAACTGAACCACAAATGATGAATTCGTTAATTATAGTTAAAAACTTTAAATGTCACGACGATGTCGTAGTACTACATAATTGCGGATTATGCATATCTTCAGACATGTACTAAGGTTCAATAACACAGTGTCTCCCCATACAACAGACATATTTTTCATGACATCATCAACTTTAATGTCACCATGTAATATTTCTGTGAAATCTTGGATTATGGTTACTTTTAAAAATGTACTACGGTTGAATAAAACATTCTTTTTTATTTTTAAAACAGACATAGTTGTCATTATGTCATAATACATGTAGTTACTGCGAAATATTGCTCTGACTCATTAACAATATGGTTAAATATGCACTTTATATATTTCGTTATAAATAAGAGACTTGTATTGTTATAATAAAAATTAAACAGACTTCTTTTTTCCATTTTATATTTCGTTATAAATAAGAGACTTGTATTGTTATAATAAAAATTAAACAGACTTCTTTTTTCCATTTTATGGACGTTATAGGAAAATTGATTGAAAACCACTCCTCGGCATTTTCTTCGATTGCTGTAGGAAACACAGCGATTATTTACCCTTATTATGTATTTAATTTGACCAGGCTAGATCATACGCTAACAAAAAAAAAAAGACGAGAACCATTCTAAGTTAACACAAAACTATTGAAAAACAACAAAAAAATTCTCGGTTTTTATGTACCTAGCAGATATTCCCTTCACGTTTCGTCATTGTACATTAAAATCATTTTCATAAAACTCAAATTGAAAAGGATTTGACATCTCTTTTTCTAGGTCGAAATTACGAACAATTTAAACTAATTATGTTACTTTTTTTAGTTTACGTCTATATGCATCACCCTTAATATCTGGGAGAACACTTGATTTCATTTTTCATCATTAGAGGTGGAAGACACTAAAAAGATACTCAAAACCATACGTCAAAGATAAACTGAAAACACTTAAATCGAAAAACGACCAAAAGACAAACAAAACAGTCTACAAAACATAGCATAGAAAATTAATGACTAACTAACATCTAAAACCAGGGTAATCTCTGAAAAGGAAAAAGATCATGCTCCACAGGTGGTATCCGTTATGTTGCTCATGGTGAGTAGAAATTGTTGGCTAGGCCTAAATCAGGGATTTCGAGGAAAAGAGGACGGGATTGTTGTTAAGACAATTGATACATATATGTCGTCATCTGAGAAACAGATGGAAATAAAAATTGACCGAACTTTTAAAATTAACAGTAGAAACAGTTTCTTCTCAGATTACATTTAACGTGGTTTAACCTTCATCAGGATCGCTAAAAGCCAAAAAGCAAAAATATAAGAAAGCCAAATGGATAAATTACGAACATGGCTTATAAAGAGCTATACGACGAAAGGGATCTGAAAGTAATAGGCAAATCATTCGAAGGTCAACTTTAAGTGAGGGAGTTGGAATCTTAGTTTCCTTATAATTCTGAATGTATCAACGGAGAATTTAAGAAACATTTGTTATAAATCATGTGAGTATTGAATAACTGACTACTGAACTAATAATGACATCCGGGACTAATAATCTAACATCTGTGGCATTCACCCAATGATTGCAAAATGAAATTAACACTATCATTGTTTTGCGTACAAAGCGCTTTTCTAGATGTCATAAGTTCTATAAAAACTCAGATTTAAAATAAGAAACAAAATTGAGGATGGAAATGGGGAATATGTCAAAGAGACAACAACCCGACCAAAGAGCAGACAACACCCAATGGCCACCAATGGGTCTTCAATGCAGCGAGAAAATCCCGCACCCGGAGGTGGTCGTCAGATGGCCCCTAAATTGTATTACACTGTACATGTATCTCTCTATATATCAACGCTGGTGAAAAGACTACCTTTTCAATAATTTCAGATGATATATGAGATGTGAATATAAACTTAAATATCAATTAAAATGTTTAGAATGGGAGCAAGAGCATTTTGAGATAATGATAAGAATGCACAAAAATTATGAATTGTCGGAAATTTAGGGAAACAGTCTTCTATTCCTGACAAACCTATCAAGTGACTTAAGTTTAGAGTGGTAACACGACATATCAAATTGTAATATGAATCTTTTTTTATGACTTAAGATGTCATTGTATGAGGGTAAATGTAAATGTGTATGATATCTCCTTCATACATAACCTAGCACTCTAATAAAATCTGTAACATAGTACCGCAGTAGGTTTTCATGTCGAAACTATGAAGAATATAATTATTCAAAACAAAATAAATTGCTTTACTCAAATTTCCTCTGTTATACAATATCCCAAAGCAGCCTAGGAAAGCAGATTTAATTTTATTGCATTCTGCATTTGTCGAGGGGAACAAATGGTATAGTTCAATTATAACAAAGAGAGCATATCACTTGCTGCATATAAAGACGTAAATTATAGAAAACATACTTAGTTTGAATTGTTCCTTATTTAGACCTACAAAATTGATGTCAAATCCTTTTCAATTTGAGGAAATGACGGACCAGGAAGAGAAGATCTTCAAGATACATGTGATCCGAGAATCTGTTTATTGTTTGATGATTTGGTGTTAATTTTGAATGGTTCTCGACTTTTATCTTAACGAAAGCTCAAGCATAGTAAAATCATAGACTTAATGAAAGTAAATAATCGCTGTGTCAAAAAGCAGTTGAATAAAATGTAAATAAGTGGTTTTCAAGCAATTCTAACCAAAATTGATAAAGTCCATACTATGAGGAAATAAAAGGCTTCTGATTGTTTTCAACAGTACAAGTCGCTGATTATAACGAACTTAATAAAGTGCATATTTGACCGTATTGTTAATAAGTCACACCGATATTGTGTAATAACTACATGTATTATGACATAATGGCAAATGTGTCTGTTGTAGGAAGAAAACGAATGTTTTATTTACTATAAGTACATCTAAAAAAAATCATTATAAAAAAAAAATTCATAGAAACATTACATGGTCACATTAAAGTTTAAGATAACTATAATTAACGAATTTATCATTTGCAGTTCAGTTACAAATTTCCTTATGTGCATGGCAATTATAAACAAAATAATTGAAACGGTATAAAAGAACGATTTTGAAGCAGTAAAACAGTATTCATAAGAAACCCTTCCAAAAACTTCAAAGAAAGGGATCTAAAGGCGTATGGTATCAATTATGAATAAATATGATAGACAAACATAACAATAATGCAATAGCAACAACGATAGCAGGAAAGAAGTCATAATAAAATTAGGATTTATCAAGTTTAAAGCTTACAGATAATTCTATACTTCTACTGAAGCATTTAAAAGAAGGAAACAGTTCAATTTACTTTTATAAAGAATAGTATACTGAAAATTGTGATTGTTTAACATTTCTGTAATTGAAAAGAAAGAGACAAGATCTATAACAAAATACTGCTTCAAAGTATATTTTATTCACACCAATTATTTTTACTGCGTTTTAAAATCTATCGGAGGTGAAAACCCGATTGAAGTAACTTTTTCAGATATTAAAAATCAGATTTAGTGATACAAATTCGAGATTTATCTTTTGCTTCAATCCCTATTTCTTTATTCGTTAATTCGTGAATCAACTTCTATCATAATTTTCTAATTTGTAATATCAAACCAATCTCATATTGTATTATCAATTGAAACCTTATATTTCACCATTAATTGCTCCAATTCTTCTTTTACAATTTGCTATACTATATGATTTTTTTTTTATGATCATCTCTTCGATCTCGGATACATAGTTTAGCCTTGAGTGTCATTGATGATACATTAATTGCTGAAACGCGCATCTGGCTTTTAAATCTTGAAAGAGTTTATGTTATTTTGAGGACGCAATGTCCACATTGAGTTTGGTCGTTCTTGTTTTAAATTTCAAAGATATCCGTTTTAACAAAATAAAAGTCGAAATAAAGGCTCCCTTTTCATCTTTTCTTAGTGATTTCTATTTCAGAATGAAGTTTAGAAGAGCTGTCTTCAAATACTTAATTTCAAAGTTCTTACGACAGTGATGTTTTTAATTAACATGACGATTTTTCAGATATAATTATTACACAACATCTCAATTCTAAACAACCCGTAGCTCGAAAGCAAGAACTATAAATCCTACAATTTAGCCTACAATAAAGAATTCCTGTCATTTTTGTTTACCCCAAAATAAGTATGAGTATCGCTGCAGATTGTTTTCTAGCAGGTCTATAGTAAAAACATGTAATATCTTATAAACTGATTCGTACTCAATGTGTCAATTATGATTTTCTAAGAAATAACTTTTATCCTGTTTATTTAGGAAGCACTCCACAGTTAGGTGTGTAGTTTCGGATTTTTCAAATATGAGAGCTAGTGTGCAATAAAATTCATTTTTGATAGCTGAGAATTAAAATAGCCTGCCTATTGGGTTTATATGAACATCAAGATAATGTAATGTATGTAATAAAGCCTGTTTTCTGTATGACAGTCCGTATTTACATATCCATACCATACATTGGTCCGGCAATTATTGTAATGTTTTTTTCCAACTTTTTGTCGCACGAACTTTGTTACTAAATTTTTTACGAAAAAATGAGGCGAAAGACACCCATTTTTTATTTGATTATTAGGAAGATTAATTTCAACAGTTTCTAAAAAGGTATCACTCATTTGCATTGAAATTCTAGTTTGATCCAAATTTTGGGGGGATATGTGACATTTTCGCCCCCCTTTTTGCAATATTTTATGGTAAATAAATGCAGAATGTTGCCATGGATACACATAGAAGGAATTATATTTCACCCTTTTAACTTTTGAAAATCAAATCTATGGAAGATACTGATTACATACATATGCACATGTACAACACAAACAGTTAGGTTAATGTATTAGAAATCCAGGAATAGGAGATGATAAAATATTTTGTGGTTCATTTTTAATTTTATTTTCTAACTGTGGAGTGCTACCTTATGGCACACCAGAAAGCACAG